AGACTACACTTCCCAGTCTCCCTTGCAGCTTGATGTGCTGTTAGTCTAAGTTCTCACCAGAGGATTATGAGCAGAAATAATTGTATCGCTTCTGGGTTGTGCCCTCACAAGGAATGTGCGTGTGCTCCCCTGACCGTCCTCCTACCCTTCCCCCCAACTTGGAGATGATAAAAACTAAAGCAGTCTCCCTAGACCAGTGGTTCTCAACCTTCCTAATGCCGCGACCTTTTAATACACTGCCTCATGTTGTGGTGACCCCCAACCATAAAATTATCTTCGTTGCTACTTCATAACTGTAATTTTGCTACTGGTATGAATCGTATGTAAATATCTGATATGCAGGATGTATTTTCATTGTTACAAATTGAACATAATTAAAGCATAGTGATTAATCACAAAAACAATATACATATATGTGTTTATATATATACATATATAAACAATATATTATATATGTGTTTTCCGATGGTCTTAGGCGACCCTGTGAAAGGGTCATTCGACCCCCGCCACAGGTTGAGAGCCGCTGCCCTCAACAAAGAGAAGGAAGCCACGTCTGGAGGAGGATGGAGCCTTCCTAGCAGTCTCTGAAGGTTTTTTTTTCTGAACTCTTATATCATATGGAAGAAATATAAATTTCTATTTTGCTTATACTTCTGTATTTGGAGTCTCTTTGTTACAGCAACTTGCCCAAACTCATAAAATATGTAGCGCCTGGCTTCCCTGGGACTCAAACTTGTCCAGGACTGGGCCTGTGACCTAGTTAGGGCCAGCAAGATACAAGGCAAGGTTTGATGAGGGTTGCTGGGAGAGAGCTCTATTGTTTTTAAGAGAGAGCATCCTGGGACAATCTTCTCTTTTTCTCTTCCTCAGGGCATCATGGGGCCTGGAACTATGGCAGTCCTCTTACTACCAGCCTAAGAATGGGGCTACATATAAGTAGGGCAGAGCTGAGCGAATCTCAGAGAAATGGAGTTAGTTTCTGGGCTAAACTCTGAAGCCCACTGTCTTCGTCTGCTTGGGCTGCCACAGACCTGGGTTGCCTAAACAACAGAAATGTACTTTCTCACAGTCCTAAGGACCAGAGTCCAAGATCAAGGTGCCATCAGGGTTGGCTTTGGTGAGACCTCTCTTCCTGGCGTGTAGACAGCCACCTTCTCACTGTGACATCATATGGCCTCTTCTCTGTGTGTGCAAGCTCTGGTGTCTCTTCCTCTGCTTTTAAAGACACCAGTCTGCCGAAACCGGTTTGGCTCAGTGGATAGAGCGTCGGCCTGTGGACTGAGAGGTCCCAGGTTCGATTCCGGTCAAGGGCATGTACCTTGGTTGCGGGCACATCCCCAGTGGGGAGTGTGCAGGAGGCAGCTGGTCGATGTTTCTCTCTCATCGATGTTTCTAACTCTCTATCTCTCTCCTTTCCTCTCTGTAAAAACTCAATAAAATATATTTTAAAAAAAAAAGACACTAGTCCAATTGAATTAAAAGGCTCCACCCCTATGACCTCATTTAACTTTAATTACCTCCTTAAGGACGCTATCTCCAAATACAGCCATATTGAGAGTTGACGCTTCAACTTATGAATTTGGGAGGGGGGCGTGCACAATTCAGTCCATAACACTCACCCTACCTCTGGGTTTGCATTTATGTGATCGAATAAATATGCTTTTGTTGAAGCTCACTTGAGTTGGTTTTCTGTCACATCTTACCCTACAGTGTTTCACTGCTCTGTATCCCTGCTGGGCCTGGTCCAGAAAGGGTCAATAAATATTTGTGGAATGAATGCCAGTTGCTATTTTCTTCCTTTGCCTGTAATAACTACCTCACAGATCAACTATAAGCATTTCTCTTTCTCTCTGCCCCAGCCAAATCACCTAAAGTAGTCATATGGGCCTCACTTCCAGAAAATTCTGCTTAGCACCGCCACCTCCCCCTCTGCCCCCCCATACACACACACATTGGCTACTTATATGCAGAGCTGAGGATGCCGCTATAAAATCAGAGGTTGGGTTAGATACACTCTAGCACGCCATCCAGCAGAAGTGTCCCCGAGTCCCTCCAGCTCTCATGTCCCGTGGCGCTGCCTGAGGCTCTCTCTGAAGGAATCATCCCGTGTCCAGGCAGGAAACCCATCGAGCACTAACAACGTACTGTCTATTGAGGGGTCCCTCTGGGCACCTGCCCCAACTCCCTGCAGTTCCACAGGAGGCCTCTTCCAGCACTAACTGTCTGGGGTGTTGGAGTTTTTTTATGTTCTTTTTTATTTTTATATAATTTATTGGTGTTTTACAGAGAGGAAGCGAGAGGGATAGAGTTAGAAACATCGATGAGACAGAAACATCGATCCGCTGCCTCCTGCATACCTCCTACTGGGGATGTGCCCAGAACCGAGGTACATGCCCTTGACTGGAATCGAACCTGGGACCTTTCAGTCCACAGGCTGACGCTCTATCCGAGCCAAACCAGTTAGGGCTGGGGTGTTGTTTAAAGTCCTTTCAAACTAAAGTCCCAAGATACTGAAATGCATGCTAAATAGACCTCCTGCCCCAAGCACAGAGGAGAACGCTCTGGGGAGGGCCTGGACGGTCACAACATTGTCCTTCCAGATGAGACCAGAGGTGGACCCTGCTAAGAAACAGGCAGGCAGGTGCCTTGCAATGCTCAGACACTCAGCGGGTCCTGCAGCCAGGACACTCCCGTTCCTTGTGCCCGCTGCTCAACCATCCAGACTGCCATTAGTGCCCACAATGGGGGCATACAGATCCTTCTTCCACTTGAGAACTTCGCTCATGGAGACGGGAAAGGGCTGCTGCATTCCTCAGCCAACTGCAATGTGGGAGAATGAGATCTCGAGGGAAATGACCAGTGAATGAACCCTGGTCAGCTAGGACCCTCGCAGTCCAGAGGTCCTTCCAGGCTGTCCTTCCGTGCTTTTATTTTTATTTTTATAAATATATTTTTATTGATTTCAGAGAGGAAGGGAAAAGGAAAGAGAGAGACGTAGAAACATCAATGATGAGAGAGAATCATTGACCAGCTGCCTCCTGCAGGTCCCCTATTGGGGATCGAGCCCGCAACCTGGGCGTGTGCCCTGACCGTTTCCTCTTCTGTGAAATGGAGGTCATCACTACCCATAGAAGCTCTTAGGCATGTGGGTGCTCCCGCCTCTCTCCTTTGCTCCTTCCTCCTCTGGGTATCCTTAACCTCCACTGACCACCGTACCACCTAGCTGCGGACCCTCGCTTCCCAGAATCCTCCCACTGCGGCCCGGCCTCTGAGCCTCGCAGGAGACAGTGGTTTCACTTGTGGCCTGCCGTGGGCCAGCTCCCCTGAGAGCAAAGGCCTCAGAACCAAGTGACTGGGGCCCCACCCTCTTTGTAAACACCAGTTGGGCACCAACTGACCTCAGGAGGAAAGTGCTCTGCTGGGACCCTCCTCTTCCAGCCCTGCCCGCCCGCCGCTGGATGTTCCAGGGGAAGCGCCAGGCAAAGCTGGCACCCTGGTGCCCAGGCCGCCTCCGTCCTGGAAATAGGCACTTAGAGCCAAGCCTTGGCTGAAGGTGGAAGGAAGTTAAAAGTCCCCGAGTGCTTCTCTCCTGCCCTCCCACAGCACTACCCTGGCCGTCCCAGACAGGGCATGTTCTCTCTAATTTAATTTTTTAATGATTATGATAGGCGCACATAAAGAGGACTTGACTGAGATTCTTTGTTTCTTAAAAATAAAGACAGAAATTAAACGTAAAAAAAATACTAATCATTTTAATTCTAGGCAATAGGAATGTGTGTTTTAGTGTTCTTTTTCCATCTCTATGTAAAGACATTTTTAAATGAATAAGATGAATACAGATTTATTGGGGAAATTTTTGAAAGAACCAAAAAAGTATAAAGAGAAAAATAAGAACCACCAAGAATCTCTCTTTTGGATCATTTATATATATATATTGGGTTATCTCCTTCTGGTCCTTTTCTAGCAAATATTTATGTCATTGTATTCTCTTATTTTTTAATTGAAATATAGCTGACATATAACATTGTATTAGTTTTAGATTTGTTTTATTCTTTCTACAAAAAGAGGAATCATATTATTTAATAACCTTTTTTCTCCTTAACAATGTATTTTGAACAGTTTCCCATGCTCTTTTTTTTTTTTTTTTGTATAGTAAAGGTGGAATGTTATTGAAGAACAAGTACAGACTCCCACGTGGGGAGAGAGAGAGAGTCCCACCAAGTCCCTTTGTCCACAGGTTATAAAGGCTGCAGTTTTTTGTGCCTCGATATCCCCTCTGATTGGCCCATGCTCTTGAATGTTAATATTTACTTTAGAAAACTTTTCTCAATCTTCTTTCCGTGGAAGGATGAATAGATGTATATTTTTTTATTACTGGGATCCATATGGTTTTCATGAGGATCAAACCATTTATACCTTTCATTATTTGTCCTTATTTAAAAGGTACAACAGTTTTGTTGTAGAAAGGTTAGAAAATACAGATAAGCAAACAAAAGACCATGTAAAATCCTTGTAGCCTCCCCACCCTGAAATAAACTCCGCTTACATTTTAGTTTTAAATCTTCCTGTCCACTTTTCTGTGTACATGTGCAAATATATAAGTACACATTTTTTAAAACAAAATTGGAATCCTATCATTCATACCTTTTTTTTTAAGTTTGATCAAAACCGTTCCTTTTTTCCCATTTGTATTTACTTTAGATGCTTGGCTTATGGAAGGTACTAATTTTTTTTTAATTTATTTTGGAATTACAGTTGGCCTACAGTATTATATTAGTTTCAGATATGCAATATAGTGATTAGACATTTATATGCGTTACAAAGTGATCACCCCAGTAAGTCCGGTACCCACTGGACATCATACTTGGTTGGTTATACTATTTTTAACTTGGTTTTTTTATTTGTTTACTCAACAATATACCTTACATTATTAGGACTGTTTCAGCTACAAATGACAAAACTGAAAGTAACAGTGGCTTAATGTTCATTTCTTCCTTTAGTAAATGCCGCCAGAGGTAAGCAGCCCGAACTGGTGTGACAGCTCCCTGACCATCCAGGACCCGGGCTCCTTCCAACGTGGCTCTCCATCCTTACTCGTGCCGTTCACTCACGACCGAAGGCGGCTGCTCCCGGAGGAAGAAACAAAGAAGAGAGTCACTTCTCTCAAAGGATACTTGCTGGATTTCAGGTGCATCACTTCTGCTTATACCCCACTAGCCAGAACTAGGTCCCACAGCCCTGGGAAAGAGGACAGTACCTAAGTAGGGTCCTATTACTACAGCAAAGGGGAGAACAGATTTCGACTTCTCTGACACATATGACAAACATCTTCCCATGTGTGTAGTTTTGTATCCTCTTTTTTTCCTCTCTTTTTAATGAACATTTGGCATCATTAAATATTCTTTTTTTAACATATTTTATTGTTTTCAGAAAGGAAGGGAGGGGGAGAGAGAGATAGAAATATCAATGATAAGAGAGAATCATTAATTGGCTGCCTCCTGCATGCCCCTTGCTGGGGATCAAGCCCCCGGACCGGAATTGAACCCAGGACCCTTCAGTCCACAGGCTGATGCTCTATCCACTGAGCAAACCAGCCAGGGTTCATTAAATGTTCTTTAAAATTCTTAATTTTAACGGCTGCTCAATATTCCATAATAACACATGTAGCACTGCGCATCCACCCAGTGCCTTATTACCTGATATTTGGATGTTTTGCTCTGATAAATACACCTCTTCTATGAGTAAAACTTGTCAGAGGACGAGATCCCAAGCTTTCTTCTATACCCTGTGGTGCCCACATAACACATTTTGCTGGAGAGTCAGGGTATTACCTGCTTTAGGAGCTGGTTTATCAGACTGAGTTGGTTTCTACTAACAAATGGAGCTTTTTAGCAACAGGGGTAGCCCGCTACTTCCGTTGTCAGGGAAGTCACAGAAGTGGGCAGAGCCTGGTGCCCAGGTTAAAGGGGTGCGGTGGGACGGAAGATGTGGATGTGGGGGGGGGGGTAGGAAGTAAAAAGGAAGAGACCATGGAGTCCAATCCATTCTTCATTCCGGTCTAACAATGCTTTCTGGGGGCCTCCTCAGGACCGTGCCTGTGCCAGGCCCTGGGCATGTCTCAGAAAAGACATGGTCCCTGCTCTCCAGGAGCTCAGTCAACACTAAACTCTCAGATGTTAGAGTTCAACCTGGAGAGTGGCCTGTAATGCACAATCCTAGGGACCACCCCAAAAGTCAAATGCAATAGATGGTGGGCCTAGAACAGCCGTGGGCAAACTACGGCCCGCAGGCCGGATCTGGCCCATTTGAAATGAATAAAACTAAAAAAAAACAAAAAAAATGACCGTACCCTTTTATGTAAAGATGTTTACTTTGAATTTATATTAGTTCACACAAACACTCCATCCATGCTTTTGTTCTGGCCCTCCGGTCCAGTTTAAGAACCCATTGTGGCCCTCGAGTCAAAAAGTTTGCCCACCCCTGGCCTAGAATCTGCAGTTCTTTCCACTCCACAGGTGACCTGACAAAGGTGATCAGGAACCATTGGGGAAGGGGGAGTTAGTCAAGGCTCTGGGAGGAAGTCTCTAACCAGGCAAACCTGGAGTCTCCATGTGCCCAGTAGGTAGCTTGAACCTCAATAAGCCTTAGGCCACAACAAAATAATGATGACACCTGTCAGACACACCTGCGCCCAAATCTCAGTTCCAGGCTTTGGTAGCTGAGTGACCTCAGGCAACTGAGTTGACCTCTCCAAGCCTCTGCTTTCCCATAAAAATGGGAATAATTGCAGCGCTTCCCATGTGAAAATAAACAATTAGTGCTAAGCAGAGTGTCTGGCACTCAATCAATGCTAGATATTATTATGAAATTACTTAAAATTAGCTTATTAATTGAAATCACCTCCAGGTAAGTAATTACAGCACAGGACTGGAGACAGGGTACGTAAAGGCTTTCATACACTGCCCGGCTCACGGTGGTAGGCATTCATTAAGTGGTTTTGATTATTGTTAACATCCTCGCATCCATTTTAATTCCACACTTTATCATCTCTGCAGCTGTATGCATCACGCAGTTTTATCCTCCCAAGAGAAACAGCCAGCGGATTGCGGCACTCCAAAATGCGGCCCTCAATCTACCCCTGGTGCCTGCCCCAGCGTGAAAGCGATTTCCTCAGCTCCTCTGGAGGGAAGTGCAAGCGGTGGGCAGGTAAAACGTGAGCAGGACCCTCATGTTCCTACTTCCAAGTCCCTGCTTTCTCAGGAGCCCAGGCCTGGCCCTGGGCCATTCACCCCGCCCTGAGGATCAGGGAGCTGCGGAGGCCGAGGCTGGAAGCTGCTATGAGGTGAGAAGAGACAGGGTCGCTGTTGATAATTACATTTTCAAATGCTCGAGGCTGGCCACGTTGCCATGGTGATGTGGCTCTGAGCACGTGGCAGCCCCTCCTGAGTTGTGAGTCAGTTTCGGCTTTATTTATTAAAAAAGAAAACCAACGCCCTGACCTGTAAAGGACAAAGCGAGGCTCCAGGTGGAGGCCACGGTGTCCTCTGTGAGGGTGAATCAGCAGCACAACCCGTGGGTCTCCTGACGTCAGGAGGCCCAATCCACAGAGGTGACGGGGGAGCCAGCATCTCAGACCGTGGCCCAGGAGAGGAAGTGCAGACAGAATCCACACAGCCGGTTGAAATCCTCTTAATAAGAAGCAGATCTCATTTTCTCAGCACTAGCCCAAGGGTCTGACTCCAAAAGACTGCTCCACTCTGGTATGGGGGTGCACAGGGCCCAAGGAGAGGGCATCCCCTGGCCCTGAGGTGACCAGCGGTAGCTGACCCACACACCAGTGTGCACACAGCAGCAATGCCCTCTGTGAGGGGCAGGGTCCTGGAAAGACAGGGGAAACTGCAAAAATGCTCTCCCAGGGCCAGAACTCCTGCAGGAAAAGCAGTAAAGGCCACGATGGCTCCAGCAGAGACCTCTGAAGGAGCCTGGCCTTGTCAGCACCCCGTGGGGAGGCCCACAGGATCAGTAACCGTGACATACCGGAATCTTCTTCCTGAGCTGACACACTGTCCCAGAATCTGAGACCTATTGCTGGAGGAACCCTTGTGCCTGCTCGTTTGTTTGGGTTCACTGTTGATGCCACTAATGTCCTAGTGGGCTCACCTTCTAACCAGCTCTGGGCTCCCAACCCTGGTCCCACCCACTGCCCTCATCAGTGAGCAGGGTGCTGAAGTCAGGCTGCGTGGATTTAAGTCCTCCTTCTGCCACTTGCCAGCCTGTGACTGAGCCTCCATTCCCCCATCTGTAATACGGGGGTGATCTCCATAATATCAGGGGAGCTATGAGGATGAAATGCGATGTTTGCAAATGTTTAATATAGAGCTTGGCTGGCACATAGTACGCGCTGGGTAACTGTAAGCCATTGTTAAGTTTGTTCAGGACCTTATCGTATCCCGCCTGGATAACAGCAGCAGCCTCATAACTCCACCTGCTGATTCTTGTCTTGCCTGCCTCCAATCTATTGTCCACACCACAGCAAAGTGGTTTATCAAAAATGCAATCCTGATCATGCTATTTTCCTCCATAAACTCTGCCAGCGGCTCCCATTTGCTCTCAGGATGGCTCTTAGAATTCCTTGGAGGGGCCTCCAAGGCCCTGCACCAACCAGCTGTAGGCTATCCTTTCCAGCTCTATACCTCTCCACACCCTCCCCACCTTGATAACTCTCAGCCATACCCACTGTCAGCAGTGTTCCCAAGGTGCCAGGCTATGCCATACCTCCAGGATATTTGCCATGCTGTTTCCTTTGCCCCAAAAGCCATTTCTTCTTTTTGTCCGCTTAGCAAACAACTGCTCATCCTCCAAGACTCCCCCTATACTGTGAAATTCCACCCCCACACCCCCCCGCTCAAATTCAGAGCAGACCACACTCTCCTCTGAGCCACTTCGGTGCCCTCCATGAAGACATTTATCACTTTCATTGCAGTTATTGCAACCCACGCCTATAGCACTTCTCAGCTTCTTGAGAACAGCAGTGATTCTAATTAACGTCCGTATCCACAGAACATACCACGGTACCATAACATTCACAAGAGATGGCTGGGAATGAATGAATAAATGAATATAGACAAAAGCCCTGTTTATAGAACAGGAAACTGAGGTCCAGATAGGATCAGTGGCTTGGCTAAAGGGTCCAGAAGCCCAATAACTCCAGGCCCCTCTGATTCCAAGGACTATGGACTATTCATTCATACAACCGTCATTTATTAATCGTATACCAGACACTGTGTTTCTCCCTGGGATACAAAGAACAAGGAACAGTCCCAGCTCTCAGGAGCCCACGGGCAGGTGGGATAGAATGGCAGGTACACAGACAGTCTGAACACCTTTCACTAAGAGCTGGGAGAGATCTAGAAGGAGCTACGGGAATGCCAGGGCCCCGGTATGGATGGGGGTAGAGCTAAGCCTCTGTTTCTATGTCTTCCACTTCATCTCCCAAACCGGGAGGTAAGTTCCCTCAGACTGTCAGGCCAAGGCAGCTGCTCTCTAGGGGCTGTCAACACAGGTGAACAGACACATCCTGGTCCACACATACCCAAGACAGGTGACATGGACACGCCTTGCCCCATGGGGCAGGACAAACAGTCACAAGGACACATTTGTGCCCGTGGGCAGTCGTGTCAAGAGCCAGCATGGGTGTCAGGATAGATGGAATGAGACAGCAGAGCACTTTCTGACCTTCATACCGCGCAGTCCTTCCGCACGCCAGGTCTCCTTGGATCCCCACCAGGTGGGGTCCTACAGACAAGGCGGCTATGGTTCTCTCCCCCATTTCCAGGTGGACAAACTGAGACTCAGACAGATGTAAAGGACTTGCCCAACCCCACTGCCTGGTCAGTGGAAGCGTCGGAACTGATCTGTCACCTCCCAACCATTCACTGGGCATTTCGTCTGTGTCAGGCCCTCTGCTTCCCACCGCTGTCCCACTGACCTTCTGGCCATGCCTGGGACAGAACAAGCACCTCCAACCTCTGACCTTTGCTCCTTTTCTTCCTTCTCCTGGTCACTTTCCAGATAGTCACAAGACTAACTCCCTCTGTTGACTCAGGACTCTGTCTCCTCACAGAGGAGAAGATACCGCTGAGTCCAAAGCAAGGACCCTGTCACTCTGGATACCTTTCTTCAAGATGATATTTTTATTATATGACATGATACTATGTGCATTGGACCATTTGTTTATGACCTGTCACCCCAAGTAGGACAGGGTAAGAATGTGTCCATTTTGTTCACGACTACATGCTTGGTGCCTAGAACATTGCCTGGCACATAGTAGGAACTCAATAAATTTTTAGGAACATGAATGAATCAATAACCTTCACTTTTACTCCCCTTTAAAATGGTCCCCATATTACACAGTTATAAGCATTAAATGATGTTATAAATGGAAGGTGCTTAGCCTAGTGCCTGGGGTTCAGTGGGCACACAATAATGCTGTTATTGTCACTATGTTCACAGTTTTATGAGGGGGAGACAGGAATAAAAATAAATCACACGATGTGATAAAGTTCTTACTTCTGAGCCTTCTCCTCCACTTTGGGGTCCGGGTAGCAACCCCTCCATTTGCCTGAAGATCAGAGCCCAGAGTTCCTGCCCTGTCTGCGAGGTCACCGTTGGGGTCTAGCCCTGGCGGCTGGGAGACCTCTGGGCCCGCCCGGGCTGGGGGCAGTGGGCAGAGTCCAGCCCAGGCCTCAGCAACCCTTGATTTCCCCCTTGAGAGCAGGCCCCACATCAAAGCCAATCTCAGAGGGGCGAGGCCTCTAGATAGATGGAAGATTAAAGAAGGCAAGGTCTCCACAGGCCACAGGGAGAGGCAGTCAGCAGGCGACCACAGAGGGAGGCCTGACACAGCCCTTCTAGCAGCCATCTTGGGGGGCAAGAGATGGGAAGGGGGCCCGGGCCAGGGCAAGTAGGACTGGTGGGGGGCACCTTAGCACCCCATTATTACACTTTGGCCTGTCCCGCCAGTCCAGGCTTAACCCTTTCTTTGCCGGGCAGCAGCAGAGAGGCCCATCAGAGGAACCCCTGGGTCTCTCCTAGAGAGAGTTTGTTTGGTCATTGGGTTTGGTCATTGGGGTTTGCGCCCTTGAGTGAGGGAGCCTGTAATGAGGACCTCCTGGCCCCAGCCATCCTCCCCAGGGAAGGTCTGTAATTAGTGCAGGAGGCGAGGCTGGGGAAGCTCAGACAATGTCATTTGAACCAGGATGAGACAGGGCTCAATTGCTAGTCTGCACTTTTTTTTTTTCCTGGTGCCATTTCATATACAAAACTCTGGCAAGATTAACCCTTTCCTGGCTGGGCTCTGATGCTGGGGTTTCAGCATAGCAATACCAGCCATTCCCCTGCCTTCTTGCCCCCCCCCGCCCCC